GTACGCCACCCAGCACTCCCCGCAGACCTGCCCCGTGCAGGACTACAAGGAGTACGCCCAGAGGCGGCCTCCAGCCATGCGCTACGAGGACGCACCTTTTTACCTGTCCATCAAACCCGTCGTCAACTTGGCCGCGCTTCACTGGTACAATTGCCAAGCCCTGGGGAAAAACAAGCTTGCCAAGATGGTAAAGACGATGTGCGAGAAAGGCAACATTCCCGGCAGGAAGACCAACTTCAGCGTCTACCAGAGTTGTAGCACCCTCTCAGAAGCGCAGAGCAACCAGCTCGTGCTGATCTGCAATAACTTGAGTCAGCAGGCTGCCCAGTCCATGGCGAGCCACTCCAATACTGGCAACTTCATAGTGTCAGCATCCTATGACTCTTCCTCTGACACAGCTTGAAAGAGGGATATCACCTGAACACTTTTTTCTTTTCCTTTTTGTTTCAAGCTTTGACTTTGTGCCCAATAATACACATCAACTGTGACTGTACACTATTCCCCCATAGCCCTCTCTCCAGTGTTAATTCACTTTATAAAAATATATAAATATATAATATATTTTTCTTTTTACAAATAAGTCAATAGAAATAGTTTAGTATTACTAACATAGTATTTATAGTGTTAATACAAAAATGAAAGGTACTTATGGGTTATAATATAAATGCAGCTTTTAAAAGGACAGAAATGGTTCTCAGGCAACACAAGATAGACTGGAAATACCGTTTTTAACATGCACACATCAGTGAGTGTAAATCCCCAGGGAGGCTTACATAGCAATTCTATTTTAAAACATTTTTCAACTTCTTATTTTAACATGACCTCCCAGAGTGGAGGAGACAAACTTATCACTGGCTGCTGCTTCTTACCTGCTGGCTTATTCTTGATCAGCAAGACCAAGAAATAAGAGATACATCAATGTAAGTTCATGAAACCATTTACAACAATTTTTGTCTGTTTTTTATTTTGTTTCCTGAGGCTCATTTATGCCAGATGGGAAAAAAATCCTGAAGTCAGCTAAAGGCTATTTTTAACTTTTGTTTCTGTTGATGATTTTCTGTGATCAAAATGTTGCTAGTCTTCAGACTAAAAAGTATTGTTTTCAACAATATGCAAAAGTATAATGGCAAAAACACTGTCATACACATAATTTTAACTGTTTAAGCACGAGTTGTTAGTATTTTGTCACTGTGTATACTTAATGTAAAATCTACTGACTTAGAGCCACTCTTTCAGTATTCTGGGGAATGCAACACTGCAGAAAAATCCACAATCTTATCCCAAACTGTACAGGAAAAAACGCATCAAATATGTCTTAAGCCATCATTTGAAATCCACAAAAAAATAACTTAGAGAGTGTAACAATAGTTTCATGTTTACTACAGAAAATGAAAAAGCTGGGTAGTTTTAAGTGCCAGAAAACAAATTTAAGTCAGCTACACATAATGTATTTCCATTGCAGACAATGGAAAATGTGCATGTGAATCTGAAGGCAGAATTTGGTCCTTAAAGTCTTGAAATAATGAGTGCTACTGTTCCAACATTTCACTTTGCAATGTAATTGTTCTTATTCTCTAAGTATGGGGAAAACAATAACAAGTTCACTATTTCAGTGAATGATTATAATTTTTGTTCTTTAAAATTAGGTACTTGTACTTCTCAAGTAATTCAGCTTAGTTTATGTCACACTAGGATATCCTAGGCCCGTGATGAGGCTTCAGACAAGTCCACTGGGGTGATCTAACACCCACTGAAGTCAAGGAAAGAGTCAACCTCAGCTGACTTCCCATGGGTGTTGGATCAAACTGTTACTGAGGGCCTTTTCTGGTTTTTTGTTGGTTTTTTTTTTGTTGTGTTTCTTTATGCTAGTTTGTCTTTATTCTGTCACATTCCTGCATATCCGTTATATTCTTTAGATCTGCAACTGTGCAGTGACTTTAATCGTCACTAATTCCAAAGAAAGGGTGAAACAAAGGTAGCAGACAGAAATAAAAATAACCCACCTGGCACCATTTAAAACCAGTTTTCTGTGTTGCTAGGATGAAATGTTCCTCTGTGCGAGGGAGGTGGTAGAATGCCTGCACCTCACTTAACCCTTATTGAAGGTCTGTTTTGGGGATGGGGTAGGTAGCACATGTGCCACTGGAAAGTCTAAGAGCAGAGATTTCCACTATAACAGACATCTGTCCTACCACGAAGCGTCCTGCAGGTGACACAGCCTGGCTCTGATCTCTTTGTGCTCCGCACATTCCAAGGCTGGTACAACGTCTGGGTCTCCTGTGTGCCGGCTGTCCCAGGGTCTTGCATGCCATGGCAGTGTAGCCACCAAATCTGCAACCTCTGAGTTACGGGCCGCTGTCTCTCAGGGCTGTAGGGGAGGCAGTGGGCACAGGTGGTCATTCATACTGCAGAGCTATGCTTTTGTGTCTTGATTTGGGGGCTTGAGACCAAATCATGACGCGACTGAAGTGAGTACAAGCTGTGTCCATGACTTTTCAGTGCCATGGCAAATCTGACTTGTAGGTGAAGGAGAGGGAAGCACAAAAAGACTTGGGGTGCAGCCAGCAAGACGGCTGCCCAGCTTCCAGATGAGGGCAGCCATCTGATTGCTGTTAGCTGCCTTTTCACAGCAGTGCTTTTAATGTGATACCGTTAAAAATAGTTTTGTAAGGCCGGTGCTGCTCTCTGTGGGATTTCTTTGCTATTTCCCACTGAGGACTCACGCAGCTGCTCTTTGTGCTGGAGCACAGAGGGTCCCATGCCAAGGAGCTCCCTAGGGGTGCCAGGTTGGAGCTCAACCATGGAGCCAGCCTCTAGGAAAGCTTTGATCTCTGTTTCTCCCCTGTTGGCACTCATCTCAGCACTTCCCAGTGGCAGCTATTGCAGGATCTGACCTACTTCCCCACCTTGCCTTTCCTGTGCTGCAACACGAGGCTGGGTATCAGCGGGGCTTTGTGGGGCAGCAGATCTCTGCTTCCCACCTCTTCTCCCTTGCCCAACCGCCCCTCTTTGCTGGGAAGAGATGCTTTGAGCTTGTAGGGGAAAGAAGCCACCCCATGGTGTGGCTGTCTTGCGTCCCTCCTCAAGCCCCACAAGGCAGGAAACCAGACCTTATAACCAAATTGCTTCTCACACCATTATCAGGCTCAGAGCATGGCAATGGTTCGCATCCTCTGCGGGTATGCCTTAGGTGTGTTGCTCCAGAGGGGGCTATTTTGTGTCAGCTATTTAGTGTGGGAATTACGCAATTATTCTTGTCTCCAAGGACGCAGATCCCTGGCTGCGGATGTGCCGTGCTGTACGCAGGTTTTTGACGTGCTGCTTCGCATCAGTGCTGTAATTCAGCCCCAACGCAGACCTCGGCTCCATCGGCAGGAGGCAAAAATGCTCAGAGTGACCCGGAACAGAGAGGACGGGCACTTTTGGGTTTTGAGCTGGGAGGTCATAAAAAGAATTTCTGGTGACTTCTTGACTCCACATACTGTTTGAGTTGTTGTTTAGCACAGTATTAGGATGGTTTGTGCTAATGTCCAGCCTGTGCACTGGATGAGGCAATGTCTTTGATACCCTTGGCTTAGCAGGGCACATGAGCAACTTTTGCTTGTCTGGCTGGGGGATAAGCTGTGGAGTATGTGTGCGTATTGTGAAAGCCTCAGTATTACAGGGGTGGTTTTGTCCTGCTTTGCAACATCTCTAGTAGCTCCAGCTGCCAGTTGGTGCTGATGGCACATTGCCTGGCAAATTCTGATGGGGCAGCCCCAAATAGACTACTTGTTGAAGTAGTTAAACACATAAGGCCAGAATGTGATACCCAAGTAGTATCATACTCCAAAAATAAATTTATTAGCTTTGAAGGGCGTTTAGTACAACATATTACCCAGTCTTCATTTGTGGACAGTTGCAAGGAATCGAGTGACCGCAGCTTAATGAATTATCATCCATATTAAGGCCCTGGGAGGGTTGTTAACCCACTGGGAGGGAGACTTCTGATTTAAACCACTCTCATGGTTTTGTCTCATGCTGGCAGGGGAGTAGATGTCCCAGTTGCTGCAGCTCAGCTGACAGGTGACAACTCAGTTGCTTGTAATTGTCTCCCAGTACTCTGACTGAGGGTGTCAAACCTCCTCCACCAGCAACTTGCAAGCTCACCACGACGGTGTGCAGCTTCCCTGGTGCTAAGACACGGCAGTGTGGCTGGGGGCTAGTGCTGCCAACGCTTACAAGCCTTCCTCTCTGCCTCAGCAAAGGGTGGGGGGCTCCTGCCACGGCTCTTTACTGAGTACCTTTTACCATGAAATCAAAAGGGCAGCTGGCAAAACACCGCACTGCTCCCTTAGTACAGGCTGTGACTTCCATAAGATGGGGATAGCTGGCTCCAAAACGGGGCTCACTTTTCTTCTTTGTTTTTCCCTTCCTTTTTTCCTGCCACTCACCTTTCTTTGATCTGGTGTTAGGCCTCTTCAGTGAGTCATTTCAGCTCACTAGCCCAGGATAAAATGCAGCAGAAAAAGGGTGAAGTCAGATAATTTTCTGCCAGACTGAGTTGCATCTGCTCACAAACTGAGGTGCAGAGCCGGTGGGGGAGACAGAGGAAG